CAGGTCATCTTATGTTCCTTTTTTAAAAAAATGATATTTATTAAAAGTTTAAAAATTACAGAAAAGAAGAAAAAAAAGAAAACAGCAAAAAAAATATTAAACCAAACATACATTACAATACATAAAAGAAGGGAAAAAGTACATAAAAACCAATACAACAATACAGAAAACACACACACACACACACACACACATCCAATATTCCATATCTCTATCTTTCATTTGCTTGTTTCATCGACCTCCTCACACCTCCCTTTTTGTGTTCTAGTTTAATTAATTGTTTCAGCAAATTCTTTCCATCTTTCTCAATTTTTGTTGGGTAATTTATCTTAACAATCTAACCTATTAGTTAACTCAGCAAGTCCTTTCCATCTTTCACTATATTCTGTCATTCAATTTGCCTTGATTTATTTTAACCTTATCTTACCATAAAATACCTTAAAGCTTAAAACTTAATACTTATTTATACATAACTCCTTATATCATTTCTACTAAAGCCAAATAGTTTCATTCCAACATTTTCTCTAATATTTGTTAATTTTGCACCAATTCCCAAAATACAGTGGTGCCTCGCAAGACGAAAAGAATCCGTTCCGTGATTCTCTTCGTCTAGCGGTTTTTTCGTCCTGCGAAGCAACCCTATTAGCGGCTAAGCGGATTAGCGCTATTAGCAGTTTAGCGGCTTAGCGGCTATTAAAGGCTTAGCTGCTAAAAGGCTATTAGCGGCTTAGCGGCTTAGAAAAAGGGGGGGGAGCGGAAAAAAAATCGCAAGACTAGCAAGACGTTTCGTCTTGCGAAGCAAGCCCATAGGGAAAATCGTCTTGCGAAGCAACTCAAAAACGGAAAACCCTTTCGTCTAGCGGGTTTTCCGTCTTGCGGGGCACCACTGTAAATTTTTTTAAAACTTTCTTCCAATCTTCATCCAACGTCTCTTTTTCCTGGTCTCGGGTTGTGTCAGTCCTTAGTGTCCATTCCATCTAGTCCATCAACCTGGTAGTCTTATGTCCGAGGCTCTTAAGTCTTTTCCATGTCCCTTCTGCAGATCTTCTTCTTTTTTATACCTGCACTTTTCCTTGGCTTTTGATGATCTCTTTCTTAATTTCTTTCCTTTCTCATTGAGGAGTAGGTCTTGGGGAGACTCCAGCCCAAAATTATCTCCATCTCCCCTCAGCAGATCAGCCCATTCCCCACAGTCCCACTCCCCACAGTCAGCAGTGTAGTCCAGAAAATATTTAAAAGCATATTTCAAAGTCCCTCCAAAATGGAGAGCCCCCACAACTCCAGACCCCCCCTGGCCCACTCCAGATTCAATCTTCCCTGCTTATGCTCCTGCAGGGCCTCGGGTCTCTCCACCCGTGTCACCTGAGGTCCAACAGCAACCTCCTCCATTATCTTCTGCACTTGCACTTGCCCTGTCAAAACAGGTTCCTGAGCCAGTTCCTGAATGGTTTCTATATGGGTATTCACCGCCTGTCCAAAGTTTTCAACTGCAACAGTCATCAAATCCATCTTCTCATGCAACTGCTCCAACAAAGCGCTTGTCTTGCAAAGAGCAAGCACCAAAACTTCTTCTAGACACATTTTTTACTGAAGGTCAGAGTCTGGTCCCACAATCCTAATCTCCCAGCTGTGAAATCCCCAGATCGACTCCAGTAACAATTTAACAAGCTCCCTCTAGAGGAGACAATTTCTATTTGTATCCATCTTTTAAAAGCAGGTCCAACAAAAGAAAAATACTTTCATTTTTCAAATATTTTGTTTCTTTTGAATGCAAAAGGCAACATTGGAATCAGTTTGTTTCTCTTTTTTAGCTATCTGTCAAAGACGTTCCATTCACAGTCAATGAACCTCCCCAAAAATTTCTGTCTCTGGCATCCCGTTCCCAGGTTTGAGACGGTGGAAATTTATCTTTCTTTACTCTCTCTCCTGCAGGCTTGAACAATCAAAGTTCCCCCCCTTTTCTCCTGCTTCCAAGGGGGGTTTCGGTGGTTATAAATGAAGGAAATTTAGATCTTTATATACGACTTTCCAGACTTTAGCTTGCAAGGTTTTTGCTTCAGTCTATTTACAAAAGTGGAAGGCGGACTTCCTGTTTTGAGCCTTCCCGCTTCGGTGCCAAATTAAAATGTTTCTTTAATCTAATTTTCCGTTTCTACTCACGGGCACTTGTTTTAGAGTCCAATTGTCCACAGGAAAAAGTCAGCGCTCTCCGGCAACAGCTGTGCGGCTTCACTCCGTAAAAGTAGTGGTCGATTCAAAACACCGCTCACCCCACGTCGCTTCGGATCCACGAAAAAAGGTTTCCCTGCGAGTAGGGGAGGCGCTCCTGGTGTCAGCCGAATCCCACGTTCCCAGGCTTCCTCCGCCTGGGATTTTTAAAGGGTCTCCGCCTTCGCCGCGGCGGCAAGACCCGATTTTCACGGAGCGGGTTCCTCCCGGTCAGAGGAACTCCGCCATTGCCGATGGCGCTAACCCGGAAGTCCAGGTCACCTTATGTTCCAAGGGTGCGGTTCGAGTATATGTGCTTTTGCATGCATGCGCCATCCCCGGAACATAGCCCTCATGCGTGGCACAGTTGTACTGTTTATGGTTTTTGTTTAGACATATATATAAGTTGAGCATAAGCTGGGAGGGCTTAGAGGAGTGGTTTCCAAGCAGCTGCGGAACCCCTGTTCCCTAACCATGGACCCCCGACTTTTGAAATTTTTGGTATCTCTATTGTAGTTTTTGTTATGTGAATGGTGTCGCAAACCCCCTGGGTGGCTTTTGTCCAAAGACAACCAACTGGGAACCAGTAGCTTAGAGCATTCACACGCCAACAGAGCTTGCTGCCCGGTTTGGTTTCTAGAGGAGCCCTTCATGTCATCAATTTGGATCAGCACAGAGAGAAAGTCTTCAGAATGTCTTCACAGCTCTCAGTTCTGCATGAGACCAGCCCCTGTCTTACGCACCCTGATTACATCTCTTTTATATATAATAATTTTTAAAAATAATTTTTACATCCTTGAAATGTCAATGACTTCCCTTCTTCTCTTTCCATGGTTCATTTTACATATCACAAATCCCTGCATATTTTACAAAAACTATTCCATTCAGTTTTCCATTACAGTGGTACCTCGGGTTAAGTACTTAATTCGTTCTGGAGGTCCGTTCTTAACCTGAAACTGTTCATAACCTGAAGCACCACTTTAGCTAATGGGGCCTCCTGCTGCTGCCGTGCTGCCAGAGCACGATTTCTGTTCTCATCCTGAAGCAAAGTTCTTAACCCGAGGTACTATTTCTAGGTTAGTGGAGTCTGTAACCTGAAGCGTATGTAACCCGACGTACCACTGTATTACATCCATCATAACTTATTTACACTGTTGAATTTATCTTAATGCTACCAGCATTTTCACCTGTACAAAATTATTTCCCATATATTCAATAAATGTTTTCCAGTCTTCTCTAAATGTATGTTCTTCTTGTTGTCTTATTCTATATGCTAAGTCTGCAAGTTGTGCATATTCTGTCAACTAAAGTTGCCATTATTCCTTGGTTGGGCCTCGCTCGTTTTCCATTTTTGAGCTAACAAAACACGGGTCACAGTAGTAGTATACATAAATGACTTTTTTTTCACACCTGGGAATTTCAGTCTGAATTATCCCCAACAGAAAGGACTCTGGTTTCATCCAGGGGTGAGGAGAAAGACCTGCCTTCCTGTAGCATCGCTGACTTAGTTTCTGTGGCAATTGCACATCTGTACACGTTAGCCATGTGAAGAGATGCTTAATGGCTTTACCTAAGTTTGTTAATAAAGTGACTAGTTTGAGGAGCCTTGGGCGGAACCTGAATATGATATCCAGACCAACCCATATAACAATATTTTAAAATTATAGTTAATCATGTTTCATTCCCCCCGCCTCCTTATTAGTTCTGCAAGTCTGTTTCAAGTGTTTGTTTTTCATGGAAAATTGATTTACATAGCAATTGACATACCCAGGTGAATGGGCAGTCCACATTTTCAGCAGGATTCACTTTGCTGTTGTTTTTTTGACAAACAGGAGATTGATATATGGCTCTCTGAGGAATGGGGCAACAGCTCATTAAAACAAGTACGCCATGAGTCTCCTATTCCCTGCACAAACAACGTGAAGATTTAAGGCGGAAGGCAAACATGCCCTCCAATTCAACTCTTGGAAGCACAAAATATTTCCCCCTTGATCCTTTTATCATCTAATCAAATTCAGTTGGGAAGGACCACTGCTTAGCGTCGAAGTACACATTTTGCATGCAAAGGTCCCCGGTTTAATCCTTGCTATGTCCAGGTTTCTGTCTGAGTCCCTAGAGAACTGCTACTAATCTACGTAGACAATGCTAAACCAAATGGGAGTACGGTGTGACTTGGACAGACTTGGTGCTGCTCATAATGCCAGCCTATATTTTTTGTTCCTTTCATCTGGACGTTTCCTTACCATGGAAAATAAAATAAGCTGATCTGTTATACATCTGCAGTCCATGTTGCTGTGAGAGCTCCTTAGCATTTCGGGGGGGGGGGGGTGTTGCAGAATGTTTGTTGACATTTAAAAGGGTGGCCCCTATTGCCATAACCCTTTTTTTCTATGCTCCTCAAATAAGTAGATTTGTAATAATAAAAACAAATGTTGGGGGCTGCTTAGTGCCCTGAACGAAGTGGTTTGTGTGTGCCAACCTTTCTGTAAACTAAGATATTTCCTCTTTCCCATCCTCCTTCTTCCCTTCATCTGCTTCCTCTGCCCACACATCCCCCCACCCCTCAGAACCATCGCTGACAAACTGCTAGGTCTGTATGGCCTTTTCTTACCTAGCATGCTAACTAAAATTAATCTCCAGCTTTATTCCTTTTTTAAAAACCACTTAGTTTTTCCACATTCATTTTCTTCCTGTGTGTTTCCCCCAGTGAGAAGGAGACAGATGTGGGAAACACCTGGATTTTGAATTTTCAAAAGAATACTTAAGCATTGAATGTTTCTTTTTCCCATCAGCCTTACATGGAACCTGAAACCTGCAAAGCATGAAAGAGAGCCTCATATGTGTATCGGCTACCTCTTTACACTTTCCTTCTGAAGTGTGTAACTCAATACAGGCTCTATCCATGGGTCAAACAGCAGCGGATTCCCTCCCTTCCGTCTATAATTCCCACACTTGTTTTGTTTACCATATCGTTTGATTAAGAGTCCCAAAGAAATCAAAAGCTTGTGTGCTATTTTGTAATGTTTTGGCTTCCCTAATAAAGATATCTCCCTAATGTGAATTATAATATTTTATTTATATCAATTTTCTCCTCTGGGTTCAGTAGGGTGAAATTGGTTCCATTTAATGGAATAAGATCACAAATAGGATGAACCATAATCAAGGTTGATTATTATTGTCCTGAGATCCTATGTAGAGTTATAGGTAAAGGTAAAGGATGCATGGAAGTTAAGTCCAGTCAAAGGAGACTCTGGGGTTGTGGCGCTCATCTTGCTTTATGCCTGTGGGAGCCAGCATTTGTCCACAGACATCTTTCTGGGTCATGTGGCCAGCAGGACTAAACCGCTTCTGGCGCAACGAGACACTGTGATGGAAACCAGAGTGCAGGGAAATGGCATTTACCTTCCCGTCGCAGCGGTACCCATTTATCTACTTGTACTGGCGTGCTTTTGAACTGCTAGGTTGGCAGGACCTGGCATAGAGCAACGGGAGCTCACCCCGTCACAGGGATTCGAACTGCTGACCTTCTGATTGGGAAGCCCAAGAGGCTCACTGGTTTAGACTACAGCTTCACCTGTGTCCTGAATAAACGAGCACACAATCACTGATAGGTCCACCTGCCATTGTGAGGCTCAAAGCAATGAAGATGATGCCTCCCCAGCTGTTGCCATTGGCTGTGGGTTTCTTGTGATGTCACAAAAGCCCTTGGCAACTTAGTGCATATAAAGACAGGCCAAGGGGAAAGCCCTTTTCTATTTCCAGCAGGACACACCTGGCAATGGATGTGACATTCAACCCTGCTCAGGTTTCTGCCACTTGGAGGAGGCAAACTGGTGAATGGAAGGAGGCAATCCTCTGGCAGTGGGATGCTAGGGAGCGATAATAAGGCAAGTTACTTTCTTGAAGTCTGCTGGTACCTGTGGTTGGAAGCTGTTGGGCGTTTCATGATGAATCTAACAGTAGCTTCTGGCACAATGGGACACTGTGATGGAAACCAGAGCACAAAGAAACACTGTTTACCTTCCTGCCTCAGCAGTACCTATTTATCTACTTGCACTGGTGTGCTTTCAAACTGCTAGGTTGGCAGAAGCTGGGACAGAGCAACAGGAGCTCACTCCATCTCGGGGATTCAAAGCGCCGACCTTCTGATTGGCAAGCCCAAGAGGCTCAGTGGTTTAGACCGCAGTGCCACCTGTGTCCTTCTATAGGTGCATGAGATCTATTGAAAACCTATGGAAATGTATGCTGTATGTTTTTCAACAATGGAGGTCAAAGAAGCAGTGCCCAACCAATCTACTGAAGAAGGGAAGTGGGACAGCTCCTAATCCATTGGTTGCCGTTTCAACCACAGAAAAAGAACTGGAAGGCTGGAAAGCCACTAGAGTACATGATGACTTCAGTTTCGTACTGAAACATGTGTGTTTAGAAACATGGGAGAGAAGGCTCAGTACCTCCCGAGACAGAGGCCAAGACTTTTAAACCATTACAATTTTAGACTGAATAGCAGCCTTGCTAGAGTGTAGCTGCACCTGCAAGAAACAAAAAAAATGTATCAATAACTATCTATGTAGTTGTTGGCAGACTTTGTTTTGAGATTTCCCAGGATTTGAACAGCATCATGCTCACTGAAGCTGAATAGAAGCCTCTTCGATTGGGGAGGGGGGAGGGGGCTAAACGCTATAGCAACCATTTTTCATGCTAGTTGGAACTTTAGCATCCTTACAGATCCGAGGGAAGTGCTTCAAGATATATAGCTTTAAGGGCTCACCATAGAAGACCGATGAGATGACATACTAAATTCTTGGAAACGTCTTCTTGTTGATGTTGGGGGATGGGAGAATAAGTCATTGATCTTGTATTCCTGAAGAATGATCTGCTTGGAGTCAAATGCCCCTTAAAACAACTCTCTATTATTTAAAATGCTTCCAAGGACAAAGGCAACATCCACTAAGAAAGCTAAGCTTTTCCTTTTTTTCACTATCAATTTTGATGTGATTATGTGTGTGCGTGCGCACGACAACCCTCAAAACTATCCAGAGTAGCTCTACCAAAGTTAGCAAGATATCTTCAAAGCAAATGGTTCTCAATAAATTCTAGATAAAAAAATGTCCTACTGTGCAAAGCCCTTGTAGGCCTGGCCATAAATCACTTCAGTCAGGATGGTCTATTCTATCACCCAGATACCCAGAACGTAATTTTAAAACCATCTACCTATAGAGTGACATAATAACTTAAGTTATTATGTAGCTACATGCAAGGCACTGCGGACTCCAGTTGTAATGCTTGTTGTTGTCCGACTCTTCGTGGCCCCATGGCAGGCACTCCTGTCTTCCACTGCATCCCACAGTTTGTTCAAACTCATGCTGGTAGCTTCGAGAACACTGTCCAACCATCTCGTCCTCTGCCGTCCCCTTCTCCTTGTGCCTTCAATTTTTCCTAACATCAGGGTCTTTTCCAGGGAGTCTTCAAATCTCATGAGGTGGCCAAAGTCTTGGAGCCTCAGCTTCAGGATCTGTCCTTCCAGTGAGCACTCAGGGCTGATTTCCTTAAGAATGGATAGGTTTGATGATCTTGCAGTCCATGGGACTCTCAAGAGTCTCCTCCAGCACCATAATTCTTTGCCTATTAAGATTGCTTAACTTCCCAGGGAAAGTTCTACTGGACTTATTTCTGTGTTGCCATGCTTAAGTTGATGATTAATGTGATGTTCAAGGCACTAAATAAACAAATATTATGAACACAAACTTTATTCACATAAAAACTTTCATTTTCTTTCTCTCACTGTATGGCACAAGGTGCTTTCTGATCCTCAAACTACCTGCAGGAAAGTGATTTTCAAATAATGACATCAATGGTACGATATGTGTTTCAGACTCTTCCACTGGCACAGTAGTGACCTATCTTTGATTCCAGCATGATTGTTCTACCAATCCTCCCAAATCAAGATGCATTAACACACACACACACACACACACACACACCCCTACCTCTTACTGGAAACTCACAGAACACATAGAACGCTATGACACTCATGAAAAGTTAAGAGTTAATGTGCACAGATCCAACATGCCCAAATTTTTGACAAGGAGGAAAAAATGAATTTACATTTCGCCCTTCCTCCACCAGTCCTTTCCTCCTAAAGTCATATGTTCTCAGTAGTCCTCAGTACTGTGATTTCAGATAGTAACTTCTACCAGGTAAGGATTGGAGCAGAATTCGTGGTCTCCTAGTGTATCCCATTCCAAAGTCTGAAAAAGGGAGAGGGAATCAAAGCGGCTTTCTGATCATAATCTCTCTCCCTGTTTCCTAGCTTTGCAAATCCATTAATCTTTCTTAACAAGAACAAATTTCCTAAGTTATGAATATAGCATTATATTCATTTTGTCCATTTTAAAATGCCATGTCAGCACATACAAGCACCTGAGATATATATATATATATATATACACATATAAAATACTGAATCAAAAACTCAGAATATTTCCCAAAGTGGGTGGGGATTTAATTGAACCATCATCCCGGGGCCGGATGGAAAGTTATCGAGATCAAACTTCAGTTTGTATGGTAACGGGATCTTTGTTACATAAGAGCTCAGTTGTTCAAGTGGTGCTGTGTAGCTGCTATGATCTAGAGCATGTGACCAGGCTTTATTCAGCAAACGGTTCACATTCCTTTGAACTGCTGCATTATAGAAAGGAGCTGCTGATTGCGCTGATAAACGCTTTGCTGTTCGTCTCTCAATCTTTCCTGGTCATTGAGAATCTCTTCCTGTGACAAAACAAGAAAACCAGGTTTTAGATTATTTTTTGGAGCCACGGGAATGAACTGCAAGATAGGACATCTTCCTTTAGACCTGCCCCGCAATGCTATAATTTGAGCATGTGTTTTACAACCTATCCATGTTTCTTGCAAAAAACATATAACAGGTTGTTGTTGTTGTTTTAAAAAAGACAAGTCTCTGGGTTGTAGTTAACACTGTGTAACACTTGCTTATGCAGCAAGACTTCCTGTTACTCTCCCCTCGCCATCATCCATGCTCTACAAGGTCTCCAGGCACAGATTTTGAGAGGTGCATGGGTGGCGGCAGGGAAGAGAAGGGAGAAGTTATGTTGGGCAACAGGAAGCCTGCTGTACAAGCAGAACAGCGCAGTTGGATACAACCCTCTGTCTCAGGCCATGAACACATTAGCTGCTTAGAACACAGTGAAGTCATCCCACCGTTCTCCTGTGCTTCAAGTTGCATTGGTACATTGCAGTACACGCCAGAGGGGGGAGTGGGCCTACGTTAAGGGATGCTAGGACTTGTAGTCCCATGACATCTGGGGAATCACAGATTCCCAGTTCATGCTATGGAGGATTAAGTCGAGTTGAAAGAATCCAAAAAGAATTAAAATACTTGATGGCAAAATCCAACTCCAGAGTGGACCAAATGAGGCTCTGTTGGTTTCTCAATGGGCCAACTCATAGAGAGTTTATTCATTACTGAGTTGCTGGTTGTACCTTGGAAGTTGAACGGAATCGGTTGGAAGTCCATTCGACTTCCAAAATGTTTGGAAACCAAAGCGCAGCTACTGGTTGGCTGCAGGAAGCTCCTGCAGCCAATTGGAAGCTGCAGAAGCCCCGTTGGACGTTTGGGTTCCAAAGAACGTTCACAAACTGGAACACTCATTTCCGGTGTTGCGGCGTTCGGTAGCCAAAACGTCTGAGTACCAAGGTACGACTGTATTTGAAGCTCAACAGTTCACTCTCCTTCTCAGGCTGAGAGAAAAATGGCGAAAACAGGATATATATTGGGAGTTGGACAGTATGATTTTTGCAGCTGCTGCTAAGGTTGCAAAACAATGGGGCACAGGACGGAGCAATGGAGAACTTCTGAAACAACAGTGGGATACTAGGTCCGCCCAAGGCATGATGGAGGACAGCAACAACCAGGAAAGGGTTGACATAATATTTTACAAGGATAGGAAGAAACATCACGGACAGAATAATTGCCACGCACAGGGAGAACAAGGATATAGTTTGAATGCTT